AACTTATCCATATTGTTGACTACCTGCATAACATGGTTTAAGTTATTTGCTAAAAGTTCTTGTTCTAGATGGGTAGCCATATGTTTTACTGCAGCCACCTTTTGTTCACAAGTCTTGCGCATTTCAGGATCAAAAGGTTCATCTTGGTCTATTTCAACCAAACTGCTATCCTGGGAAATCAAAGATGATTGAATATCCGCTTGTGAAATTGTGGATTGCTAAATATTGAAATCTTTCAGTATAAGCTTTCCATTTATACTTCAGATTAAAAAAGGATAATCTTCTTGGCGTTTAAAATTTTCGTATAGCAATCGAATACCTTGAGGGTCAAGGAACACTGCCTTATTAATTGCATGTTATACTAAATGCTTACAAATGAGAAAACGAGGGTAAAGAAATGAGGGGCAACTACATATCCAGCGTTCAAGATCAATAAAATAGCAGGTATCATTACAATCAGAAATTTGGTTAGTAGCAGATTGATTCCAATCTTTTTTAAAATCATTGAATTATGATGGTGTTATTTGCCCTCATGAATTTGATGATAATAGATGAGTTGATCAGGTATAAGATTTGTACAGACAATCTATACAATATAATCCAACTGTGGTTGATTAAATCTTTGAAGATAGCAATACTTTACGACTCTCCAATGTGATTCTATTAGCATATTAGTCTTACTTAGAGGTATAGTACTTTGTGTTGACCGGGCCCAGAGTGTCCATCTTGTAATTTTATACCAAGTACACCATAAATATGCCCAAAGATATACAAGGTTATTTTTAGAACAAAAATTATATATTTTATGAACTGCACTATTATAGATTTCTTTAGGCATTAAAAACTGACCAGCAGCATTTATGGGGATTTTTGAATGGATATTAAAGTGTTTTTCAATGATACTAATAACTTCATCACGCAGTTCTGGTGGACATACTATATAATAGTCAGATTCATGACGATTTAAATTGGGCTTAAATAGAGGGTTAATAAAATCAAATTCAGCGATAGCTTCATCAGGTTGGTAATGGATACGTTTGATTTTATTACAACTTTTGAGTTTTTCTTTTATGGCTTTTTTTATATGCTACAAACAAAGTTGCACACTAATATTAGGCCACGCTTCTCTTGCAGCATTGATCTCAGCAAAGTCCTTATCAGTAAAAAAATACTGTAGTTGCAATCCTTTACTATCAAGAGATCGAAAAAACCCAACAAGTGCATCAGCAAAATTTAAAAGGTGCTATATATCGATAGTAATCCCCTAGATTACAATCGATATACAACCCCCCTGCC